AGAGGACCCAGGTTCAAGTCCCAGCACCCACATGGAGGCTCCAACTACCTGTAACTCTAGTTCCAGGGGACCCAATGTCCTCTTCTGGCCTCCTCAGGTACCAGACCAAACATCCATGCAGGTAAAACAAAATAAAATGAAACAGAAGAGTGACTATGACACTGAGGTGACGGGCAGTTTGATTTACTTTCCCCGGTTTTAATCAGGCTTGCACATGGAGCTTAGGAAAGGATGAATCTGCGGACTGCTTCATTTCCAAAAGTCACTGCAAACTTTGCCAGCTTCCTGGGCAACAGCAGATACACTGCCTTCTGGATGTCTTCTGGGGTGAGGGTACAGCGCTTTTTGCGGTACATCAGCTGGCAGGCTTCTGTAGCAATGCGTTCAAAGATGTCATTGATCAGGATGTTTACAATGTCCACGGAATGAGATGACATGCCTCTCTGGGGGACAACTTCCTTCAGGACCCTGCTTATGTAGCGAGAATAATTTCTATGGCCAAAGTTGATGCTGGAACAATGTGACTGCTTTCTGGAGATTGAACTTAGACTTCTTTTGACATATTGGCATCTTCTGTTGGTGGACCTGGCCATTGTAGATGTTGTTCTCCTTGTCCGTTAGGAATGGAGAGGAGGAGGGCCGGAGAATGGGAGCGGTCATCATACTTATGGTGGTGTGTCACAGTCACATGGCCAGGGCCTCTCTCTGATTGGTTCTCAAGTTTCCTATGTCACAGACACTTAGCAACAGAGCTGACCTCTTGCTGAGGACACATTGGCTCCCCTCAGCCTTTCCAGAGAGTGGGAGGGGACACTCATGCCTGGCAGGGCAAGTTTTCTGTTTCCAGTTAATACCAATTCTATCATCATCATATTATTGTGAAGTTACCTCTCACTGTCTTATAATGACCTGGTGTCATTAAAAGTCCCTGTAACTTAAGCAGTACTCCAGTCACAGAAGGGTGGTAGCATGCAATCCATGCCCCAAATAGGAATAGCAAAATGGAGCATGAAGCCAGAGTCTGGGAGAAAAGCAATCCTGGACTTTGGAATCAAAGCCAAAGAGTTTTAAACAGCTTGGCTGCTGGGAGCCTCCGGTGTGTCTGGTCAGTAGGTTGTGTGTCCTGTTAGCAGACACCAGACTTCATCTAAGACCCTGAGAATTCTGCAGAAAAAATGCAGGGAGACCTGTAAGTCTTCATACTCTCAGGGTGTGAGAGACCAAAATGATCAGAATTGCTGCATTGCCTGAGTTAGTAATGCAGTGACTGCTCCTGAAGGTCACCGTGCTGAAAGATGTTCATCCCTTCTTCTAGCATGTCTGGAGGAGGAAGCACAGAGAGGCAAAAGGCAAACCTGTAGTGCTCACATCCATGGTTTAAATGACTTATTCGATGATTAAAGAGAATTGAGGTTGGCCCCTAATTAGCCATGCAATTTATTAGATTGTTTTCCTTGTTTTTCTGAACATGCTGGAAAGCAAGCATCTTAGCTTATAACCTATCATTTGGGGCTTTGCAGCTTTTCTATGTTATTCGCTATAATATATTGCACCCTTCCGTCTCCACACCCTAAGATCAACTAAGAGAATCAAAGGAAAGGGAGAGACTGAGATCAAAATGTCACCTTTCTCACCAGGCATGCAAGGGGCAGCCTTTCGGGATGGAGCAAGTGTTTCTTGATGTAGCACAGACTTAAACAGAATGACCTACTGATCCACTAAAGGGACCTCACAATGATCCTTCCTGGGGGTGAGCTGCCCACAGTCAGAGAATCCAGAAGGGCTGAGACAGGCCTGTCTACCTTGCTTCCCCTCCCAGTCAAGTAAGGCATTTGTCTCAAGGAGAAAGTGACAGAGAAGGCCAGGAGTGTTCCTGTAGTGGAAACTATAACACAGACTAATGGGGAAGAGGGAAGAAATGCTCTCTGCCTGGTAGCTATTCTAAGTAGGAGCAAATAAAGCTGTTCTATAATTAAGCAGACTGAGTGATTCTATCTAGAGGAATCTGTAAGCAAAATTAGTAAGATCTATTAAAGACCCATCACCACAAAGCAGAGCAGAAGTGGGGGCTTCCGTCTTGGTAGGAGGAGGCATGGCTGAGACCAATGGTGAGCAAGGTGGAGTGGAGATTTGCACACAAGGCCTCCTGTCTTCAGAAATCAGAGCCAGAGGCTGGAGGATGGCTCAGCAGTTTAGAGCACTGGCTGCTCTTCCAGAGGACACGTGTTTGAGTTCCAGCACACACATGGCAGCTCACAACCGTCTGTGACTCCAGTTCAGGTGATCCAGTATCTTCTTCTGGCCTCCTTGGGCACCAGGCACACATGTGGTGCACAGACATGCACACCAGCAAACACCCACACATATAATTTTTTTATTTTTAATAAAGAAATTAGAGTTAGCTTAAAGTTTTCCCCCATAATACCATCTTCCCCACTTCTATATTTAAGGAGGAGAAACAGCTTTCTAGAAACTACAGACAGCCTTCTTTGTCTTCCCGTGCAGAAACTCGTTTTGAAGGATATTTAATGGGACTATTATTAATAGTAGTGGCCACCATAAATAATTGAAATGCTCATAAGTTACTGCCATAGTCACTTACTTCTATTCCTTTTTTGTTTTACAGAGATTTGATCAAGAAAGCATTAGAAGGAGCTGGAGAGATGGCTCAGTGATTAAGAGCACTGATTGCTCTTCCAGAGGACTGAGGTTCGATTCCCAGCACAACTGTCTGTGACTCCAGTTCCAGGGGATCCAACACCCTCACACAGACTTATTATGAAGGCAAAAAAAAACACCAATGCGCCGGGCGGTGGTGGCGCACGCCTTTAATCCCAGCACTCGGGAGGCAGAGCCAGGCGGATCTCTGTGAGTTCGAGGCCAGCCTGGGCTACCAAGTGAGTCCCAGGAAAGGCGCAAAGCTACACAGAGAAACCCTGTCCCGAAAAACCAAAAAAACAAAAAAAAAAAACAAAAAAACAAAAAAACACCAATGCATATAAAAAATAAAAATAAATTAAAAAAAAAGCATATGAAGGTTTCTTAAATGAATACCAATGTGACACGTGGCAAGAATGACTCTACAAAGGTCTTCTGGCTAATGCCAGAACTACAATATCGAGTCATAGCAGACCCTGTAATTAAGACTATGAAATCTGCAAGAATGATGCTATCATTAAAAAAAGTTAATGAACACAGTTCATATCATAATCTAAGCAATAAAAGCCTGGAGTTCTGAATTCTTCAGTTGTACACATTTGCTTCTAAGGGATCAATTATCATTAAAATTAACTAGGCTTCTTTTTTGTTTTGTTTTGTTTTTTGAGACAGGGTTTTTCTGTGTAGTTTTGGTGCTGTCCTGGAACTCACTTTGTAGACCAGGCTGGCCTTGAAGTCACAGAGATTCACCTGCCTGTGCCTCCCCAGTGCTGGCATTAAAGGCATGAACCACCACTGCCTGGCTCTAGGCTTCTTCTTCTTCTTCTTCTTCTTCTTTTTTTTTTTTTAAAAAGAGGAGAATGTGATCGAGGTACCCCACTACCACAAACCACGCAATTGAGATTTCCATATTTGGGGTCAGCACGTGTGAAGGGTAATGGGGGAGCCCTGGGGGTGAACTGCCCTTAGTCAGAGAGTCCAGAAGGACTGGATTCTGTTACTTCACCTGCTGGCTAAATATAGGCTTCATTTCCTACGCACGCGCGTGCGCGCGCGCGCGCGCGCGCGTGTGTGTGTGTGTGTGTGTGTGTGTGTGTGTGTGTGTGTGTGTGTGTGAAGAGAGAGAGAGAGAGAGGCAGACAGACACAGACAGACAGACAGACTAGCACAGAGACAGAGAGAGGAGAGAGAAAGCCTGTGTGTCACGACACGTGTGTGGAAGTCAGAGCACAATTTGCCAAAGTGGATTCTCTCCTTCTACTGTGGATCTTGGGATCAAACTTGGGTGGTTAGCCTTGGTGGCCAGCACCTTTACCCACTGAGGTTTGGGTTTTTTGTTTTGTTTTGTTTTTATGTCCATACATAGTAAGAAGAGGAGTTTCTTTTATTCTTTTTGTATTTTAATTTAATGTAACTACATTTCCTTCCTTCCCTCTCTCCAACCCCTCCCATGATGCCCTCATTGCCCCTCATATTCATGAGCTCTTTTTATTATGTTACATGCATATGCATAAATGTACAAATGCAATCTGTTGATTCCATTTACTGTTGCTTACATGTATATGATTTCAGGGCTGACCGCTTGATATTGGATAACCAATTAGGGGGTGGATCCCAAATCTTAAAACCTGGTTAGTAACAGTTATTTGTATTACAAAGCAATCACTTCATATTTGCAATGGCTTATTTATTTGATTATAAGTGAATTTATGCATGTTTTTACAAGCAGTTACCTACACACACACACACACACACACACACACACACACACACACATACACACACACATACACACGAAGCTAACAATATTTTTGTACTCTATTGGTATACCAACCGCCCACTTTGACAAACTTTTGTCCAATTCTGAAAAAATTGTATAGGATGCTTACATATTGCTATAGGGAGAAGGAAGAAAACTTGAACACTCCTCTTTTCTGCTTAAAGGTGGCATCAGTACTTTTTATTTATTTATTTATTTATTTTCTCGAGACAGGATTTCTCTGTGTAGCTTTGTGCCTTTCCTGGAACTCACTTGGTAGTCCAGGCTGGCCTCGAACTCACAGAGATCCGCCTGCCTCTGCCTCCCGAGTGCTGGGATTAAAGGCGTGCGCCACCACCTTTTGACACCCTCCTACTCTCTGGAAAGGCTGAGGGGAGCCAATGTGTCCTCAGCAAGAGGTCAGCTCTGTTGCTAAGTGTCTGTGACATAGGAAACTTGAGAACCAATCAGAGAGAGGCCCTGGCCATGTGACTGTGACACACCACCATAAGTATGATGACCGCTCCCATTCTCCGGCCCTCCTCCTCTCCATTCCTAACGGACAAGGAGAACAACATCTACAATGGCCAGGTCCACCAACAGAAGATGCCAATATGTCAAAAGAAGTCTAAGTTCAATCTCCAGAAAGCAGTCACATTGTTCCAGCATCAACTTTGGCCATAGAAATTATTCTCGCTACATAAGCAGGGTCCTGAAGGAAGTTGTCCCCCAGAGAGGCATGTCATCTCATTCCGTGGACATTGTAAACATCCTGATCAATGACATCTTTGAACGCATTGCTACAGAAGCCTGCCAGCTGATGTACCGCAAAAAGCGCTGTACCCTCACCCCAGAAGACATCCAGAAGGCAGTGTATCTGCTGTTGCCCAGGAAGCTGGCAAAGTTTGCAGTGACTTTTGGAAATGAAGCAGTCCGCAGATTCATCCTTTCCTAAGCTCCATGTGCAAGCCTGATTAAAACCGGGGAAAGTAAATCAAACTGCCCATCACCTCAGTGTCATAGTCACTCTTCTGTTTCATTTTATTTTGTTTTACCTGCATGGATGTTTGGTCTGGTACCTGAGGAGGCCAGAAGAGGACATTGGGTCCCCTGGAACTAGAGTTACAGGTAGTTGGAGCCTCCATGTGGGTGCTGGGACTTGAACCTGGGTCCTCTGGAAGAGCAGCTGGTGCTCTTCACTGCTGAACCATCTCTCCTGTCCCCATGCTTCCATGAACTTCCACCTAATTTATTAAGTTTAGTTCTTACTACCTAGACCTGGCTGGCCTGAAATGTGCTCCGTAGATACATGCCACCATGCTTGGTCACTTTATTAAGTATAAGATCTTTTTAAGGGTTCTGACACTTTCTCTTCATTCCCTCTCCCTACCTGCTGTCCCGAAGGCCCCCCACCCTCCAGCCCTTTCCTTTGATTGTCTTTGTCCTTTGCTGTCTGTTATCTCTAAGCCAGCAGTTTCATTCCGTGGTTACTGCAAGGATAGGCTCACATCAGGTGTTTCTCTCTGTCACTTGTTTCTGAGGTTTCTACCTGCTGATAAATTTGCATGCATCCTATACAATTTAATCAGAATTGAACAAAAGCTTGTCAAAGTGGGCGGTTGGTATACCAATAGAGTATAAAAACATTCTTAGCTTTGTGTGTGTGTGTGTGTGTGTGTAGGTAACTTCTTGTAAAAAAACATGCATAAATTCACTTATGATCAAACAATAAGCAAACCATTGCAAATATGCAGTGGTTTCTTTGTAATACAAATAACTGTTACTAACCAGGTTTTAAGAATTGGGATCTACCTCCTAATTGGTTATCCAATATCAAGCGGTCACCCCTGAAATCATATACATGTAAGCAACAGTAAATGGAATCAACAGATTGCATTTGTACATTTATGCATATGCATGTAACATAATAAAAAGAGCTCATGAATTTGAGGGGGAATGAGGGCATTATGGGAGGGGTTATAGAGAAGGAAGGAGAGGGAAATGTAATTATATTTAAATTAAAATACAAAAAGAAGGCCGGGCAGTGGTGGTGCACGCCTTTAATCCTAGCACTCGGGAGGCAGAGCCAGGCAGATCTTTGTGAGTCCAGCCTGGTCTACAGAGTGAGATCCAGGACAGGCACCAAAGCTACACGGAGAAACCCTGTCTTGAAAAAACCAAAACCAAAACCAAAACCAAAACCAAAACCAAAAAATACAAAAAAAAAAAAAAAAAAGAAAGAAAGAAAGAAAGAAACTCCTCTTCTTACTATATGTGGACATTAAAAAAAAAAACAAAAAACTTTGGTGGGTAAAGGTGCTGGCCACAAAGGCTAACCACCCAAGTTTGACCCCAAGATCCACAGTAGAAGGAGAGAATCCACTTTGGCAAATTGTGCTCTGACTTCCACACACGTGCGGTGACACACAGGCTTTCTCTCTCCTCTCTGTCTTTCTCTGTCTCTGTCTGTCTGTGTCTCTCTCTCTCCACACACGCACGCACGCGCACACACACACACACACACACACACACACACACACACACGTAGGAAGTGAAGCCTAATATTTAGCCAGCAGGTGAAGTAACAGAATCCAGTCCTTCTGGACTCTCTGACTAAGGGCAGTTCACCCCCAGGGCTCCCCCATTACCCTTCACACGTGCTGACCCCAAATATGGAAATCTCGACTGTGTGGTTTGTGGTGGTGGTGGGACCTTGCGCCCACTTGCCTCTTAAAAAAAACAAAAAGAAGCCTAATTAGTTTTAATGATATGGGTCCCTTAGAAGCAAGTGTGTACAACTGAAGAATTCAGAACTCCAGGCTTTTATTGTTTAGATTATGATATGAACTGTGTTCATTAACTTTTTTTAATGATAGCATCATTCTTGCAGATTTCATAGTCTTAATTACAGGGTCTGCTATGACTCGATATTGTAGTTCTGGCATTAGCCAGAAGACCTTTGTAGAGTCATTCTTGCCACGTGTCACATTGGTATTCATTTAAGAAACCTTCATATGCTTTTTTTTAAATTTATTTTTATTTTTTATATGCATTGGTGTTTTTTTGCCTTCATAATAAGTCTGTGTGAGGGTGTTGGATCCCCTGGAACTGGAGTCACAGACAGTTGTGCTGAGAATCGAACCCCAGTCCTCTGGAAGAGCAATCAGTGCCCTTAACCACTGAGCCATCTCTCCAGCCCCTTCATATGTTTTCTTAATCAAATCTGAGTAAAACAAAAAAGGAATAGAAGTGACTATGGCAGTAACTTATGAGCATTTCAATTATTTATGGTGGCCACTACTGTTAATAATAGTCCCATTAAATATCCTTCAAAACGAGTTTCTGCACGGGAAGACAAAGAGAGCTGTCTGTAGTTTCTAGAAAGCTGTTTCTCCTCCTTTTCTCCTCCTTAAATATAGAAGTGGAGAAGATGGTATTATGGGGGAAAACTTTAAGCTAACTCTAATTTCTTTTTTAAAAATAAAAAAAATTACATGTGTGGGTGTTTGCTGGTGTGCATGTCTGTGCACCACATGTGTGCCTGGTGCCCAAGGAGGCCAGAAGAAGATACTGGATCACCTGAACTGGAGTCACAGACGGTTGTGAGCTGCCATGTGTGTGCTGGAACTCAAACACGTGTCCTCTGGAAGAGCAGCCAGTGCTCTAAACTGCTGAGCCATCCTCCAGCCTCTGGCTCTGATTTCTGAAGACAGGAGGCCTTGTGTGCAAATCTCCACTCCACCTTGCTCACCATTGGTCTCAGCCATGCCTCCTCCTACCAAGACGGAAGCCCCCACTTCTGCTCTGCTTTGTGGTGATGGGTCTTTAATAGATCTTACTAATTTTGCTTACAGATTCCTCTAGATAGAATCACTCAGTCTGCTTAATTATAGAACAGCTTTATTTGCTCCTACTTAGAATAGCTACCAGGCAGAGAGCATTTCTTCCCTCTTCCCCACCAGCCTGTGTTATAGTTTCCACTACAGGAACTCTCCTGGCCTTTCTTCTCTGTCACTTTCTCCTTGAGACAAATGCCTTACTTGACTGGGAGGGGAAGCAAGGTAGACAGGCCTGTCTCAGCCCTTCTGGATTCTCTGACTATGGGCAGCTCACCCCCAGGAAGGACCATTGTGAGGTCCCTTTAGTGGATCAGTAGGTCATTCTGTTTAATTCTGTGCTACATGAAGAAACACTTGCTCCATCCCGAAAGGCTGGCCCTTGCATGCCTGGTGAGAAAGGTGACATTTTGATCTCAGTCTCTCCCGTTCCTTTGATTCTCTTAGTTGATCTTAGGGTGTGGAGACGGAAGGGTGCAATATATTATAGCGAATAACATAGAAAAGCTGCAAAGCCCCAAATGATAGGCTATAAGCTAAGATGCTTGCTTTCCAGCATGTTCAGAAAAACAAGGAAAACAATCTAATAAATTGCATGGTTAATTAGGGGCCAACCTCAATTCTCTTGAATCATTGCATAAGTCATTTAAACCATGGATGTGAGCACCACAGGTTTGCCTTTTGCCTCTCTGTGCTTCCTCCTCTAGACATGCTAGAGGAAGGGATGAACATCTTTCAGCACGGTGACCTTCAGGAGCAGTCACTGCATTACTAACTCAGGCAATGCAGCAATTCTGATCATTTTGGTCTCTCACACCCTGAGAGTATGAAGACTTTCAGGTCTCCCTGCTTCTTTTCTGCAGAATTCTCAGGGTCTTAGATGAAGTCTGGTGTCTGCTAACAGGACACACAACCTACTGACCAGACACACCGGAGGCTCCCAGCAGTCAAGCTGTTTAAAACTCTTTGGCTTTGATTCCAAAGTCTAGGATTGCTTTTCTCCCAGACTCTGGCTTCATGCTCCGTTCTGCTATTCCTATTTGGGGCATGGATTGCATGCTACCACTCTTCTGTGATTGGAGTACTGCTTAAGTTACAGGGTCTTTTTTTTTTTTTTTTTGGTTTTTCGAGACAGGATTTCTCTGTGTAGCTTTGTGCCTTTCCTGCATCTTGCTATGCAGACCAGGCTGGCCTCGAACTCGCAGAGATCTGCCTGCTTCTGCCTCCTGAGTGTTGGGATTAAAGGCGTGCGCCACCACCGCCTGGCGTTACAGGGTCTTTTAATGACAGAAGGTCATCATAAGATAGTGAGAGATAATTTCACAATAATGTAATGATGGAAGAAGTGGTATTAACCTAAAACAGAAAACTTGCCTTGCCAGGCGTGAGCGTCCTCTGGGACACTGTGTGAGTGAGATAGGATGTTTGAATGTACTGGGGTGTCTTTCTTTAAAAGAATCAAACTCCATCAGAATGAAAGTTGGAAGGGCAGTGGGGAAAGGGTGGAGAGAGAAGGGAGAGCATGAGGTAGTGGATGAGACTGGACAGAATGGAGGAGGATGAGACAGGTTTTCAGATCACAGGACTCTGGGGTCTGAGATGTGCAGAGAGGCAGAGCTGATGTAAACACCTTTGCAGACACCTGGGGACAGAAGCACCTTCTCTTCCCGACCTTGGCAAAGAAGAAATGGAGGACAGAAAAGGGCAGAATTGGGCAGTGCCCTGTGTGCTGTGAATACCAGTTTTGTTCTTTCCTGTGTGGTGTTTTTATGACTGAGAGGGAATAAACACATTCCCCATTCCTGGTTGCCTGACACCTGACTGAGGTCAGTTTTTTTCTCTGCCTAGATCCCCACGGCCGACTCCCCTAACCTCACCAGACCTGGGAATCGCCTATGTCCTGCTTTGGCTAATCTGAACACTGGGTCAGTGTTCGTAGGTGACCTGAGAGTGCATGAGAGAAATTAGATTAGCTTTGTGTAAAGTAAGAACATAATAAAGGAATTAGCTTTGACACTGGGCACAAGGCTTCCGGTCCCTGATGAGTTCCTTGTGAGTCTGATGTAATTTCATAGAGAACAGAAAAAGTATTGGGATAAAAAATAGGAGAAAATTTTAA